ATCTAGTCCAACCCCCTGCTCAAAGCAGGACCATTCTCAACTAGATCATCCCAGCCAAGGCTTTGCCTAGCCAGGTTCTCAAATAAAAGCCTCAAAGGATGGAGATTACACCACCTCTCTGGGTAACCTGCTCCAGTGCCTTACCCTCCTCATGAGAAAGTTTTTGTTAATATCTAACCTAAACTTCCCTTGCTGCAACTTGAGACCATTGCTTCTTGTTCTGTCATCTGCCATCACTGAGAACAGTCTAGCTCCATCCTCTTTGGAACCCCACTACAGGTAGCTGAAGACTGCTATTAAATCCCTTCTCAGTCTTCTTTTCTCTAGACTAAATAAGCCCAGTTCCCTCAGTCTTTCCTGTAGGGAGCAGCCCGGAGCAAGGCAGGTGTTTCCCCATCCTGCTCCATCTTGGGCCAGGCCAAGAGGCCCCCTGCTCCTTGCCAAGCTTTCACGACTCGCTCTCTCTGGTGCTGCCAGTACCGATACCTCACCTGGGCTTGGCCCCACTGGCACGCAGCGCCGGTGCAGGACCCTCCCGGCCCCTGCCCAGGGTGCAGGTGATGCAGGCCTCACTCTTTCAAGGCCCTGCCCAGCTGTTCTGCAGTGAACTGGCTCCTCCTGGGTGCGACTGGGAGGCAGCCTGTGCTCAGCAGTGGGGTGTAGCGCTGCACATGCCCACGCTGCTGTCATTGCCAGGAGAAGTGCAGGGCTGTGTGCAAGGGTGTCTCATGAGCCAGGCCAAGTATCCAAGTGCGTCAGGCTGCACGTAGCAATGGCACAGCCAGAATCTCCCCAGGGATGCGGCAGCTTGTGCAGCCACCCCTGCAGTGCTCGCAGCAGGACACTACTGGTTGCAGCTGCCCGTGAGATCCAGCAGACTTCTCCAGGAAGCTCCTTCAGTGTGAGCAGGGCAGCCCTTCTTCCTCCCTCCACCTGGTGCCTGTGGGGCTGATCCTCCACCCCTGCCCACCCAGGCAGCTGGCTGACCACACGTGGGGACCTGCTGAGGCTTCTTGAGGCAGTAATGAGGGCTCCGTTCCTGTCCTGGACTCCTTCCTTGGGGGCTTGTCCTCCAGGAGCAAGGACCTGTTGGTGTCCGGCACTTGCCAGGAGAGGTTGGTGCTTGGGCATTGCATTGGATGCCAGAGCTAGGCATGCTGCTGGTGCCCTTGAGGCCCCCTGGGCAGGAGCAGGGCAGGCTGCTCTCCACACTGGCTTGTCAGGCAAGGCTGCTGTGGGGGTGAGACGCAGGCTCAGCCCATGGGCGCTGCCGGCATTGGCCCCAGAAGTGAGAGATGTCGCACTGAGCGCTCCCTCCACCCCCCCCAGCGCCAGCCACCCATGGGCAGGGGCCCTCTCCCCACACTCTGGTTCGCTCCCAGCCGCCTTCCCCACATCCTCCAGGCCTGGTTCAGAAGCCAGCGCTAAAGGGAGGAGCTGGGGGCAGCCAGGTCTGCCTCCCTCCAGAAGGAGCCTTAGGGGTAGGAAGGGAGCACAAGGCCCCTGGGAGGCTCTGGGAGCTGGCATTGCTGAAGAGCCTGGGCCTGCCGCAGGTCTGGGCATGCTGCAGGAGCTCTCGGGGCCTGGGCACAGGTAAGGGGACCTCTGCCTTGTGCACAGCCGGGGCCTGGGCCCCAGCTCAAGGCTGGACTGTTGTCTCCTCTCGCTGCTGCAGGAGTACGGAATCAGCAGGGAGGAGAAGCTGGAGATTGCCATCGGCTTCTGTCTCCCCCTTGTCAAGAAGATCCAGCTGGACCTACAAAGGACCCATGAGGACGAGTCTGTCAACAAGCTGCACCCGCTGTAAGGACCCCGTTGCAGTGGTGTGGGGGTGCAGAGTAGCGCTGCCTGCCGGGGGCAGGGGGCCATGCAGAGGCAGGCAGTGGTAGCGGGCAGGTGCATTCTTGGTGCTCCTGTCAGTGCCAGCAGGCGCAGGGAGCAGGCGCTGGGGGAAGGGAGGCTATCTCTGGCCTGGCGTGGCAGCTCCTGCACCCTATGCTCGCTTTGCTGGTCCGGCACCAGCCCCTCGTGGCTCTGCCACAGATGCCTCTGCTCGGTGGGTCCTGTCAGGCACCAGGAGGTGACGATATGGAGCCTAGGCACAGGGTGACCAGCTGACACGGGTGGGTTTGACTCAGGTATTCCCGAGGGGTGCTGTCGCCTGGCCGCCATGTCCGGACACGCTTGTACTTCACCAGCGAGAGCCACGTCCACTCCCTGCTCAGCATCTTCCGCTATGGTGGGCTCCTGGATGTAAGTGCCCCAACCTGCTTCTCTTCTCACTCGGTGGCCAGTCCCTGCCAGACGCAGCCCCTCTGAGCTCAGTGGGAAGCCCAGGCGAGGTGCTGCTGTGTGAGCAAGGGTGATGGCTGCTGTCTTGAGCAGCTGGTCCTGCTCTTAGGAAACTTGGCTGCAGTCAACGCAGCAATGATCCCATGGAGGAAGTGACCTGGGACTGGGGGGAGAGGGTCTCCAGCAGTTAGGGGGAAGGGATGGGCAGCCAGGCTCTGGAGCCTGCACCTGTCTTGCATCTGTCCTCGGCAGAGACTAGGCCTTGGTGTGCTGCAGCTCCCCGGTGGTCTGGCTAGCTCTGCATGCACCTGCACTCCCCGGGGCAGGATCAGCTCTGCTTTGCAGACGCCTGCTGGTACCTTCTGTCCTGTCTTTGGGCATCGGCTCCCAGGGGCCTGGCGGGTGTCAGCGCTTGCTTAGCAGGGCCTTTTGCCCATCATGGCACAGTGCAGCAGGCCTAGTGCTTCTCCTCAGAGGTGTCAAGTGTCCTGGTCCTCCATTCAATACCTGTTCCCTCATCCTGTGCCACCCGTGCTCCTCGCTGCTCCCCCAGAGGCACAGGCTTGGTGCCTGTGCTCCTCCCTCCACGTGAACCCATGTGCATGGCAGCTCAACATGGAGGGGAGCCCCCTCAGCCCCACCTCACTGGTGTTCGTGTTGCTTGCCCCTTGTGTCTGCATCAGGAGAACAAAGACCAGCAATGGAAGAGAGCCATGGACTACCTGAGTGCCGTCTCAGAGCTCAACTACATGACCCAGATCGTGATCATGCTCTACGAGGACAACAACAAGGTGAGAGCATGGGGGTGAAGCTGCCCTGCTTTGATGCCTGGCTGTTGTCCCCAACTGGATGTTTCCATCATGCTGTGGAGGGGAGCCCCAGGGACACTGGCTCCCATCACACCCAGCAGCAAGGTCCCAGCTGATCTTTGAGGGTGGGGAGGCCATGTCCAGGGCAGACCTGCTTCCGAACATGAATGCCTGGGGCAGCACCTCCTGCTTACTGGGGCAAAGTGGAGCAGAGTCTTCAGACCCACGTGCATTTAATGGATGGGTTGTAGCATGGCTGTGAAAGCACCTACAGCCAGGTGCTGGAGCTGCTACCTGCCCCCCCTGGAAAGGAAGTGTCCCAGAAACACTGGAGACTGGCTGTAAGGTGGCCTGTGGTTACGTCTGTGAGATCTGGAGGCAGAGTAGTCTGGTTTGGCCTTGGAGCCTGGAGTCTTGTTTCAGGGCATGGGGCCTCCTCTGCTGCCCCTTTCTGTCTGCAGCAAGAGGTACACAGAGCCCTTCGGGTTTGCTGTGGCTTGTTAACCTTCCATGGATGTACAGGAAGGGAGCGTGGTCCCCATGTGGGGGCCTGGGGTCTGGGACTGATCTCCTGTGGGTTGAACGACCAGATACCTGCGTGTGTTAAATGTCATATTGTCTTGTGTACACCACACCCCCAGATATAAAACACCCCCTGTGGTTGGAAGACAGCATGAAGAGAAAAATATTTTCCTTTTTGTAGAAACTAAGCAGCAGCAGCTAGGGGGCCAAGCCTGCTCCAAGCCTGTTGCCAGCCCTGTGCACTGGCTGTGGCCCACAGACCAACCCCATGTGCTGGCCTGCATGGTGCACAAGGTGAGGTCCTGAAGTCAGGGGCGTCCCACAGGGCTGGAGCTTTGGCAGCGCAGGAAAGGTGGCAGCATTAACAGCCATGGCTCCTACAGCCATGGCAACTAATGCTGGCAGAAAGTTGAGCTCCCTTGCCACAGTTGCTGGGCTTGTGGGCCTCTGGTTTTCTTGCATGTGACGAATGCCCCCATTTTCACCAGCTAGTTGCGGGGGTGAGGGGGAACAGGTTATATGCAAGAAAATATGGCAGTTAAGAAGCACTGAGCTAAAACCTGGTAGCTGCTGGATGTCAGTGATCAAACCTAGGGGTGTTACATGGAAACAGACTGCTCTCCTGACCCATTGTACATGTGTGTGCACCCTTGGTGTTTTAAAAGAACCAACTTCCCTGGCTGAATAAGATCATGATTAACACTGGTTAAAAGTGATTTGCAGGGAAAAGCTAAAAGCAATGCGGGCGGTGGTTAGGATGTGTGTAAGTATGTGGGTAGATTTCACAGTTTCAGGAGGCGGCTTCCTTGGTTAGATGAGAAGGGAAAGCAGCAACCAAAAAACAAAAAAGAAACGGGGGGGAATTGATGGTGATTGCTATATGTGAGGTCTTGATGCAGAAATTATGGGGGAGATTTGACTCCTGTTGTACAGGTCAGACTTCTGGCCATAACATCTATGACAGAAGTCAACAAAATGCAGATGGTTGTAAAAGGAAGCCAAAGATACTAAACATCTAATCAGGTTAAATGACACTAAGAAGAAATTTAAATATATTTGCCACAAAATAAATCCTAGCAAGAGTAGCATTTGCTGGAAAAGGTGAAGCATTAAACACATTTCTGTTTAGTGTTGGTAGGGGGAGCCGCTGGCGAGAAGCTGAAGCTATACAAATTTAGACAAGAAAACAAGGTGAGAATTTCACCAGTGAGACAGACAGTTTGCTTGGGGCACAGCAGAGCATCTCTTTCTACAGGATCTGCACTAACTTGACCAGGGGTTGCAGGCTGGGAGCATGGCAGCAAAGCTCTCTAGTCTCACCTTGTGCATGACAGATGGCTGGGACTCAGCCCTATTTCATCAACTTTTGGGAGCACATCTGTCAATGTGAAGCAAAGGAAGGGGGGCTGGGGGGCAGTCCTACACCATGTGGCAAGTGTTGAGTTTGTGGAGGGGCAAGGGCCTGTCCCAGTTCTGTGGGGAGGTTCCTCTGGGAGCAGCTCTGCGCCAGCAAGTATAGTCCCACTGGGTCTGCCCCAGGCATGTCTCATTGCTTCTGCCAGCTCTCCAAGGGGGCTTGGGATGCCTGCTGTACTGGCAGGGCAGGAGCAGGTCTTTGGCCTTGCGGGAGCCCATGTAGAAGGGGCCTGATGTGTGTGTGTTTCCAGGACCCATCCTCAGAGGAGCGATTTCACGTGGAGCTGCATTTCAGCCCTGGGGTGAAAGGCTGTGAGGAGGATGGAAATGTCCCTACAGGGTTTGGCTTTCGCCCTGCATCAGCAGAGGTGAGTCTGGCTGCTGGGCTCCAGTCCAAAGACTGGGCTGGGCTGCGTGGTAAGGTTCAGGCTTGAGCCAGCACTGCTCCTGGGAGCTCCAGCACCATCCACGGCACAGGCAGCGTGCCCTTGTGGGGAGCCATGGGCTCCGGGCACATGCCTCCTCGCTGCCTGAGACAGTCTTGTGCTGGCAAGGGCAGGTCCTACCCTCAGGAAAGCACGTTGCTGGGGAGAAGACTGTAGTTCTTCCCTGGCTACTGGAAGGCCGGGTGCAGTTGGTCACACTCCAGTTAGCCTGTGCCCAGTGGCTCTGTGGTGACCCTGTCTCCAGTCCCAGTGAGTGGAGGGGCAGCATTCCTGCTCTGGCTGTGCAGAGGTGTTGGGGCCATGTCCACGTGCGGAGACAGCATCTTGCTGACCCAGCCCTGCCAAGGGTGAAGCCTGGAAGGAGCCCAGCTGGGTGACCCACTGCTTGCTGTGGTCGTGATGCTGCCGGTCTCACTGCAGAACGAAGAGAAGAAGCCGGACCAGGGCAGCATGGAGGATCTCTCCAAGGTGAAGAACATCACTGAGACGGACCGAGTGCAGCTGAGGTCGCCGCTGCCCTCCGAGATGATCAGCGTCCAGCGGAGGTCACCCCTCATCCGGAACCGCAAAACAGGGTCCATGGAGGTAATGGGGGTAGGGGGGCCTGGCAGCTTGGTCTGACTGTCCCAGCAGCCCCATGGGCCTGGACCCCTGATCCCGACAGCTGTCCCGGCATCTGCAGCCGTGCTGCTGGGGGACCAGGTGTGTCTAGGGGGAGCAGACTCCTTGAAGCCACTTCAGGCCATGACCACCCCTCACCTGGAGGCTTGTACCATTTGTGCTGCCTGACAGCCCTGGTCTGCCCAAAGGCTAGGGCACTTAGGACAGTCCATACGCTGTCCCGACCAGTGCAGCTGACGCCCCCTCCTCCTCCAGCTCTGCCTGGGCAGGCACTGTGAGTGCAAGCACTGGAGCCCACCAGACCTGGAGTTGCCTCCCTCTGAAAGTGAACTCGCTCTGTTGCCATCTGTTTTGTTTGCAGTTAGGGCAGAAGTTGTGGGTTTTGCTGGTCTCCAGGGGTGGACATCTGCTTTGTTCATTGTTATATTATTATGTGTGTGGCACCCAGGGCCTGTAAAGTGACAGGCAGGCAAGGGATCCCTGCTGGGGCAGAGCCCCCATGGTGCAGAGAGGGGCTATAGGAATCCTGGGAGGGGAAGGAGCATGCTGTGGTGACTGGAGCAGGATCTGGGGTGCAGGGGTGCCCTGAGGTCTGCTGCTGGTCTCACGATGGGCTTCTGGGCACGTCTGCAGCACAGACAGGCGGGGCATTAGTCTGAGCAGTGGCACAGCTGCAGCGTGGAACTTGCATGGCATGGTGGAGTGTGCTCTGCCCTTACAGGGTCACTTCCCAGGGCAGGCAGCTGATCTACAAGGGACGGGTGCACATTTACCCCTGCTGCCTCTTGAAAACATCCCCCTCCCTGCCCACAGCCACATGGCCACTTCTCTCCCTCGCTGACATGCACAGGCCTGTGAGGTGGACAGCCATGGCGGCAGGGACCCTCCAGAACTGACTGTGCCATTTGTCCCTGCAGGTGCTGTCTGAGTCCTCCTCCAAGTCGGGTGGGTATCGCCTCTTCAGCACCTACTCCAGGCAGGCATCTGAAATGAAGCAAAGCGGCCTAGGTATGCACCTGCCCTTGATGATCTCTCCTCTGCCTCTGTGTCTGTATGTACATCTGTCCGTCCCTCCAGGTGTGCATCTGGCTCCTATGCCACGTATGTCTGTATATGTATTCTGTCCTGTCATGTTGCACACAGGGTGCTCGCTGTCTCCTTGCGGGGAAAGTGCATGGGTGTCCCTGGCAGCAACAGGGCCCAGTGCTTGGCTGCTGTGCTGTTCATTGTTTTGTGCTCAGCAGGAGAAGGGCTTTTGCATGCAGCCCCTGGCATGCTCAGGGCCTGTCGGGTGAATGGGCTTGCAGGGCTCTTCTCCAGGAGCTGTGATGGTGTCCGCTTCCTCCTTAGCCTTTTGCAGGTCTTGAGCTCAGCTCTGGTGACAGCTGGTCTCCCTGGGGCAGAGCTTGGGCTCTCTTGCTAGGCGAGTGGCAGCCCAGAAGGCCTCTAGGCACTGCCGCTGCTCCTGGCCAGTGAGGACCCTGGCTGCTGGGGCAGGCGCAGATGGTCACCGGCTCCTCATGCTGCTGTGTTGAGCTGAGCAGGATGCAGCAGCAGTAGGAGCAGCCGTGGCCCTTTGTCTTCTCCAGCAAGAGCCCGCGGGTGGAGAACAGAGCTCCTCATTCTCTGAACCCCGTGGAAGGAGGGTTCTGTGATCTGTCTGGAGCCTGGGGCGCTGCAGCTTGCTCTTGCCCAGTGGGACCGTGACAGGTCAGGACAAAGCGTCTTGTTGGAAATTGTGAATGATCTGTGAGACTGACTCATGCCACAGAGTGAGGAAGGTGTTCCCTTGGGGCAGTGCAGAAATGCCACGCCAGCCTCTCCTCTCGCTCAGCAGAGCAGGAATACTTATGGTCTCCAGCACGGTCTGGCCTCACTTCAGAGGTGACCTGCAAAGGGAATGCACGTGCACCAGTGCCCTTGGCAGCGTGTCTGTGGTGTCCGATGAACTCCCAGAGGGTTTTGTCCACAAAAAGCAGCCCTGCTCGTGTTTTACATCAGCCAGGAATTAGACTGAATTTCTCAGCTCTGCCTAATCTACAGCCTGCATTGCATTGCATTGCAGCCTCATGGAGAGGGAAGGGAATTCTGGTCCTGCATTGAAATGCTGCTTATGTCTAATCTGATGAGCTGCGGTGTCTCAAGCAGCGGGGGGCTACGTACTGGACCGGGCAGGGCAGAGGCTGGAATTGCTGCCTTGGCACTAGAGGGAGGAGGTGGCTGGGACCCAGGCTGAAGGGCAGATGCAGCTAGCATGGTGAGCATTGATCGCCCCCAGCCTAACAGCAAGACTGTTGTCTGTCGTAACAAAGGGCAGCACATTCGTTCCCAGTGGGCAGAGCCACTCCCCAGAGCAAGGGATCTGCTCCAAGGCATCTGGGAAGCCACCCTCCTCTCTGGGCTTGTGATGGGCTGAATCATTTCCAGGCTCTTCTGGTTCTGCATCACATTTGAGAGGTGGGAGAAAATAACATATAAAGCCAGAGAGAAGCAGGCATTGGGTCTGAGCTGCATCAGCCACGCACTGCGGGAGGCAGAGACAATCCCTCACTCCGAGCCTGGGCACCTGCAGCTGAGTGGGTTGAGGAAGCCCGAGGTGGCCATAAGCTTTCCCTAGGCTGGGTGGGAGCCTTGAGCAGGCGGGAGGGTCCGAGGCTTTCTGGCTGAGCTGGCTTGTTTGTATCAGAATCACTGAGTCGGGAGGGACCTAGGCAGACCATCGAGTCCGACCCCCCCCCGCCATGTGCAGGAATGACACTGGGCGTAGGAGGGGTCATAAGACCCCAGCCAGGTGCCTGTCCAGTCTCCTCTTGAA